CGAGTGGTTAAGTTCGCGCGCTCCGCTGCAGGCGGCCCAGTGTTTCGTTGGTTCGAATCCTGGGCGCGGACATGGCACTGCTCATCAGACCACGCTGAGGCAGCGTCCCACATGCCACAACTAGAAGAACCCACAACGAAGAATACACAACTATGTACCGGGGGGGCTTTGGGGAGAAAAAGGAAAAAATAAAATCTTTAAAAAAATAAAAAAAAAAAAGAAACTGAAATGGCAACTCACTAGAATTGAGAAACTTTTTGCAAATCATATATCTGATAAAAAATATGTATCTAGAGTATATAAAGAACTATTACAACCCAGTAACAAAAAGACAACCCAGTTAAAAAATGGGCAAAGATCTAAATAGACATTTCTCAAAAGAAGATATGCAAATGGCCAATGAGCACACAAAAATATGTTCAGCACATTAGCCACCAGGGAAATAAAAATCAGAATCACACTGAGATACCACTTCACGTGTGCTAAAATGGATATAATCCAAAAAGACAAATAATAACAAGTGTTGGTGAGGATGTGGAGAGATTGGAAGCATTATACACTGGTGATTGGAATGTAAAATGCCGCAGTCACTTTGGAAAACATTCTGGCATTTCCTCACAAAGTTAAACATAGAATTACCCTATGACTCAGCAGTTTCACTCCTAGATATATACTAAGAGAAATGAAAACATGCCCACCTAAAAACTTGTACATGGATGTTTGTAGCCACATCATTTTAGCCACATAAAAGTGGAAACAACCATGGCTGGCCCCACGGCTGAGTAGTTAAGTTTGTGCGCTCTGCTTTGGCAGCCCAGTGTTTCACTGGTTTGGATCCTGGGCACGAACATGGCACTGCTCATCAGGCCATGCTGAGGCAGCGTCCCACATAGCAGAGCCAGAAGGACCTACCACTAGGATATACAACTATGTACTTGGGGACTTTGGGGAGAAGAAGAAGAAAAAAAAAGGAAGATTGGCAATAGATGTTAGCTCAGGGCCAATCTTTAAAAAAAAAACTGTATAAATGTAAAAAAAGGAAAAAATAGTAGAAACAACCCAAATGACCAATAATTGATGAATACATAAGCAAAATGTGGTATATCCACACAATGGAATATTATCAGGCACTAAAAAGAAATGAAATTCTGATACATGCTACAACATGGATGAACATCATGCTAAGTGAAACATTATGCTAAGTGAAAGGAGCCAGACACAAAACCACATATGGCATGATTGCATTTATATGAAAGGTGCAGAATAAGTAAATCTATAGAGACAAGAAGTAGATAGTGGTTGCCTAGGTCCTGTAGTCTGGGGGATTGGGAGGTGAGAGGTAAGGGGTGTGGGGTTTCTTTTTAGGGAAATGAAAACATTCTAAAATTGATTGTGGTAATGGATGCACAATGCTGTGAATATACTGAAAGAAGCCATTGAACTGTATAAATGAGTGAATTGTATGATATGTGAATTATTTCTCAATAAAACTGTTAAAAAAACAACAATACCATTGCATAAGATAAACTAATTATTACTCCCTTTCATAGACATTTTAATCTGCAGTTCTGGTCTGGTTTTATTATTTAAAATATATTAAAAAGTAATATTTGGGCTTGATTTATTTTGGGGTCTAGTTAATTAGTTAAGCTCCGTCTAACTTTCACGGATTGGGCTTAAACTTCTGAGTATATAAAGTTTTTCTTAAATCTGTCTTTCTGTATATCAGTTTATACACAAACACATGCAAATGCATGACCTTTACAAGGACAAACTGCCTCAGGTTTACAAAGCCATTAACTTTACATATTTCGACGGAATTTACAGTAACTGATTTTAGTAAGAATATTAAAGTTCATATTGCCTTAAAATTTATACTGTAATGTTCATTTCAAATCTTTATTCAGAAAAGATACCTTATGAAAAAAAAGTACCTTAAGAAAAGTTGAAATAGTAAGGCAACTTCTAGTCTCAAAAAGTAATTTAAGTTCAATAACAAAATATTTTTAAATATCTGAGAAAGATTTTAAATTTTAACATTATTTTCATTTGTGTATTTGTGTGTCTGCAACCCTATGAAGTGTTTATAGAAATGAATTCTTTCTGGTTATAAACACCAACCTTGACAATGTATTTGCCTGTAAATGGTCGACTATAGTCTACTCTACCTCTCATCCTCCACCCACCAACTTTGAGCCACCTTTTCCCTTCCTCTGTTCCCAGCTACCAAGTTTTCCTGGGTCCATGCTGAAACCTGTATAATTAAACATCTGTCCTTAAGACCTCTTTCCTTTCCTCAGAGGACGGTGGCCCCAGTGGTGTGCCCTTCATTTCCCTCTACGTTTTACTTCTCACAACTCTGTTCACTTTAATGAGCAATTTCTTTCTTAGGATAGCATATTTCATCTTTAACACCCTTCTTTCTTTCCTTTTCTGTTCCAAGTTTTGCGTGGTTTTCTGGGTCATCTGGTTTCCTCAGATTCCACCCTTGTCACCCTCTCCTGTTCATTCGGAAGTTGTCCCTGCCCCTACAAGATTAATCTCAGTAAGAGTGACCCGTGTTAAGGTGGTGCTCTTGTAATAAGGAAACTTTCATTTAAAGCAATGAAATTCCATGTGAGTGTCAATAGTATAATACTCTAAGAGCTTGAAAGTACTGAGAAGTTTCTTTCAGGATATTCATGAATCTCTTTCACCATGTCATTCTTCTCTAAAGCTTCTTTTCCTCGTGCATTCAGGATAATTTTTCTATTGCAGTATAATTGGCTTTCTGTTTTGTTTAATTGATAGTGTTACAGTGGTATTGTTTTCTACTTTTTTGGGTAAATGGATAATTTTTCATCTACATTATGGGCTAAATAGGTTTGGATGGGTTGACCTGATAAACTAATTATTGCGTATACTTGTGTTTCTGTATTTAAAAGATGTTCTAATTTTGAAGCTACCTGACTCCTTATCATCATGGATGTAATTTATTTGTAAGTTACAAATTCCTTTAATGTTCATCCTTAGCTTTTTCCATTATAAAATCGAAACATCCAAATTCCTTTCACGGGCAATATTTACAGTGTACTGTATTGTTAGTAAATTTCAGGCTTGAGGGTAGTAAAATGAAATATAAAGCCAGAAAAATGTCTCATGGTTTCATTTCTCTAAGTTTGGTTTTAGGTTATCAGCCCCTCTTGGCAAAAGCTAACTTCCAAGGAAATAGTGAGTCTGAATTTATGGGGAGAAATGAAATTAAATTCTTCCAGAGATGCCAATAAGTTCCTCACCCCTGTTATCAGTACACAAACAGATAAAATACAACATCCTCTACAATGGGTATAGAGTTTCACTTCAAGATGAAAAAGTTCTAGAGATCTGTTGTACAATAAGGAGCATATAGCTAATACTCCTGTACTGTACACTTAAAAATGATTAAGATGATAAATTTTATGTGTTTTTTACCACGATAAAAAGATGTGTAGCCATTAATGAAAAAACAAATACAACTTCCCCTATCCTTTCCTTGAGGCCTAAATTCTTCCCTGGGTAATCTCCTGGACTCTTAAAATGACATAAAATTTCTGGGAATCATTTGGCAGTGTATTTTAAAAGATCTTAACTGTTCTTATATAAATCTATCATACAGAAATAAGTGTAAAAGTAAACAAAGATATAGTTGTAAGATTGCTAATTTGGGCATTATTCCTAATAGTAAAAAATTGGAATGACCATAAATGTCTAACTGTATGGAATTGGTTATGTAAATAATGGTATATTTATGCACTGAAGCAAATTCAATCATTGAACAATAAATATAGCTCTACTTTTGCTTATATGGGAAGATAGTTATCATCTATAGTTAAGTGAAACTAAGTAGAGTATCAAGTAGAATGTACAATATGATCCTGTTTTATTTTAAGTATTTATATATGCATAAGCATATATTACATGTGAAAAGTTCGGAAGGTATATACTTTAGCATGTTGTAGTTATCTCCTAATGTTGGCATTTTAGATATTCTTCATATTTTGTTCCTTTTTGCTTATTTGTATTTTCAGTTTTTCTATAATCATATTTTAGTGTACTTAAAACATTTAAAAGTGATATTTAGGAGGTAAAATCTCAAAGACTTTACAACTAATTAGATAAGAGAAGAAGGATAATAGATGGTATCATCAGCTGGAAATGTAGAAAAAACTGTAAGTTTCCCTGGAGAAATAAAATCACTTCAGTTTGGGCATTTCATATTTGAAGTACCCCCAGGCTGAAATCTCTTGAATAGGTAAAGTCTTGTCCTCTGAGAGCATGTAGAAGAAAAGCTATAACACCCTTTCCAGAAAAAAAAAAAAACAAAACACACATATTCACAGTGTTTTAGACATAGAATTAGGACCTTCATGGACACCCTCTCCACAGAATTCTGTCTTGAAAATATTATCTGAACACAGTGAGCCCAGCTTAAAAATTCTTGTCATTTTATTTCTCTAATTTTCTATTTAGGGAAAATGAGGCCCTACGTAGATTAAGTGAATAGCTTGAGGTCACTTTAGTTGATTCAGGCCCTGTATTAAAATCCATGTGCTCTGATCTCAGTCAATATTATATTACTAAATAAGCATATTCTGACCTTGAGAGTATAGGTTTTTGTTAATCTGAAAATACAACATAGCACTGGAAGCATCATGAAACTTACCGCAACCCCTGAAAAGTAGAACTTAAAAGTTCCCATCTTAACTGCTATCACCAAACTTGAAACTTCCCAATCAGAACTGGAAGGAAAATTGTAGTAATCAATCTCTTGGCAGGTAGCATGTCTACATTTTCTCAAAAGTCTTTTTGTTGTTGTTCTTGTTGTTTTCAGTTCTGTGAATTAATTTGCATTCATAGCCTTGCCTTGATAACCCTTGAGATTTTACCTCCCAATCCATAAAGCTCATACACCATATGGTTCTACCTAGCACCGCTCAGTGTTTGTTTCTGTTCTAATCCCAAGGGAACACTTTTAGCCAATGAATCTATTTATCCATCTGACTTATCCTAAATCTTCTCAAATGAATTGGCTTTCAAGTTTTATCTGATTGGGGGAAAAGAAAAAAGAAAGAGAACTTTTGAAGACGGTATAAAACCTGAATAGAATGAAAGACCCTGCATACTGTAGATTCAGGCTTCTAGTTTTCTTAAGTAGTCTTGTATCGTCGTCTCTCACACAGACTAGCTAATGTGGAAAAACCAAGTCATGCTTTTGTGTCACGTCACTTTTTCATGCACAAAGGCGATGTTAGTTTCCTTAACAACTGACAGGTCGTTCATTTTCTTAATTCATTTAAATTGTTCGAATCTTTCATTATAATTTCCCATTCATGCATATGGTTTGTGTGCTGACATTCAGTGAAAAGATGCTGAGTTGAACTTTTCATTTGCTTTTTGTGTACTGTCCCAGGAGCAGGCTTCCTGGGTGTGCCAGTGTGATGACAACATGGTTCAGAGACTAGAAACAGACTTCAAGATGACTCTTCAGCAGCAGAGCACCCTGGAGCAGTGGGCTGCGTGGCTTGACAATGTGATGATGCAAGCACTGAAACCCTATGAAGGAAGACCCAGTTTTCCTAAAGCTGCCAGGCAATTTCTCCTAAAATGGTCTTTCTACAGGTATCATCTCAGTTTTTCCTAAGCTTTATTTTGCATATTCTGCAAATACGTGTGTATGTACCTGCTTCTCAGACAAAAGAAAAAAAAAAGAACTTTAGGGGCTGGCCCCGTGGCCGAGTGGTTAAGTTCGCGCGCTCCGCTGCAGGCGGCCCAGTGTTTCGTTGGTTCGAATCCTGGGCGCGGACATGGCACTGCTCATCAGACCACGCTGAGGCAGCATCCCACATGCCACAACTAGAAGGACCCACAACGAAGAATATACAACTATGTACTGGGGGGCTTTGGGGAGAAAAAGGAAAAAAATAAAAAAATCTTTAAAAAAAAAAAAGAAAGAAAAAAAAGAACTTTAGTTTGCAGAAGCTCTCAGTTGTGATTATCTTCACTCAACTTAATGATTACAGCATCGTGGAATTATACTAGGAACTTTATGGAAATAAACTTTCTGCTAGGAAAAGAAAACCTCTTGCTCAAGGCCCTAGAGTTCTCAGATGGGATCATCTGAGATTCCGCTCTAGATAACACGTTCAGCAGCAGTCAGAAAAAGGCTCGAGTCTTCCCTCTTGCAAACTTACATTATTTAGTCTTCTTTCTGAGACCTCAGCACCGCTCATCTTTTTATTTTCTGGTTCAGTGATTCTCACACTGGTCCCTAGACCAGTAGCATCGCTATCACTTGGAAACCTGTTAGAAGTGCAAATTTTCAGGCCCCTTTCCCAAATCTACCTGAATCAGAGACTGCAGAGGTGAGGCCCAGCAATCTATGCTTCTTAAAAAGTCATCTAGGTGATTCTGATGCATACTCGGAACCTTCTAGTTAGTTTCTTAATTTGATCTATTACAACTGTTATAAACTAGCTTCTCATCACAATTAATTTTTTTTAAGAAATCCTAGGTACCTCCCCAGCCTACTGAATCACAATCTTGATGGTTAGGGAGTAATGATTGGGGATGGGGTAACTAGAAAGTTTTTTCTTCAAAAAGCTTACTCCTGGTGATTCTAATGCATAGCCAGTTTAATACCCAGTAATCTAGTAGACAGTAGAAAATGAATCACTTTTTGACCAAAATAATACAGATATAAATGTTTGTTTTTGTAGACATAGAAGAACCCCAGAAGAGAAAGGCTTTCAGATCACTTGATATGTGATATCAAATGTTGGGATAAGCTGTTGACTGTAGGTCTGCCCTTAGGGTGAAAAACAGAGCCTGTGTGAGTGGCATATATACCATATATATGCAGGATAGAATGGACAGATGGAGTTCCATTTCATAAGATAAGTTACGTAGGTTATATTTTTGACCCTGGCATTTGTTCTTGTGGTGAGAGTTCATGTTTTTGCTTCTTTAGATAAAAGTGGCCCCCACTGACTCAAGCCTAAAAGCCATATCTACCTTGAGATTAGGCAGTCCCTTATTTAGAGCTTACGCAGTCACATGCATATTAGAAAGTAGTAGCCACAGGACGTAGCACTGACTGTGGCTGTGGGCACACCACGGTCATCACCTGGACCTCAGCAGTGAGTCCAGAGCTAGTTGTGAGGAAAGAGGGTAAGCGAAGAGTAACAGGGTTTAGGACCAAGTAGTGCTTGTGAACCCAGTCAGCCCAGACTATAGGATTTCCATCTTGTTTTGACCACCTTCAAGATGGAACCAGAGATCTTTTCATTCTGTGATAGGAGTTGCTTGGTTTTTATTTTGATTTCTTTCTTCCTCAACTCATTTGGTCCAATTCTTATTTCTTAAACCGAAGTAGAGCGGCAGATCCGCTATATATGTCTGAGAATTAAATTATCCTTACATCCTGAGAATAGTTTTCTAGTGTCTAGCCCAGTGTCAAATGCAGTGAAGGAAAGCCTGCCAGTTTCTGTTGCTGTTGTTTTGTTTTTAGTTTTGGAATGGAATAATTCTCTAATTCTGTCTCTCATATTTAATACCTTTAGCCTATGTGATTGGAGAAGCACCTCATTACGTGAGCTAACTCTCCGACCCACTGGGGAGCTTCAGTATAGCCAGTGCTGGGTTTAGATCTGGGTCTTAATGAGAAAAGTGAGTTTGCCTTCAATACATGAGGAATATTTAGAAAACATTGTCACAGTATTCTAAAAGTTGATGCAACAACACTAATAGTAATAGGAAAATCCAAAAATTTTATTTGGAAACATTTCTTAAGAAGATTTCAGGCATCTTCCCATTTGCTTGCAAGTTGATTTTTTATTCTTCCATCTTTTTCCCCAGAAAATCATATAGATGGTATATGTGCTTCACAAATAATTGATGAAACAGAAGTTATACTAGCTGGTTATTCCAAAACCTGAATGACCAAAAGTAGAGTGCATCCTCTGTATGAGAAAAAGCAAGGTTTTGTTTTTCTTCTTACTGCTTTCATATGTTGTTATGTCAGACTTGCCCCTACTCCTTCCCGTGGGTTTTTATTTTTCTATATTTAGTTGATATCATTTTAGAAACACACCCTTGGAGCCTTTGTCTCCACAGAGCTCTGTTACAGGTATCTTGAAAAGAGAGAAAATTACTTACTTGTATTTCTTGTTCTCTGCAGATATACAGACCCAGTGGATCATCACTTGCCTGCCCTCTGTCCTCCCTGAGTTGGGGATAATTGGCTTGTTATTATTAGACACGATTATGGTTATTATTTTCATTTTAAAAAGACTTGAAGGCCTACAGTTCAGGGCCAAAGAGGGAAAGGCACATTCAGATAGATACATACCTCCTGCTGGTAGGCAAAGTCAATAGCTTAAGAGCCTTTAAAATCTGAACTGTTTTTTACTGAGATATAAGAACATAGTGAGTAATGAAAACTGCATTCACAAAAACTGCGTTCACAAACTATCAGAGAAGCAGAATTACAGAATATTTTTTTAAAGGTTTTTCGCATTGTAAGAAGAATCTGGCAGTCACATACACAGACCCTTCATGTTCTGAGGTCGCTTAATCTCATAATTTCTAAAATTCCCTATATATATTTACATGCATACAACTATAGAAATAAACTGGCAGAGAATCATGATAGCTGTAGTTGATACATTGTTGCCAATACCCTCTGCTCCTAGGAGGTCTTTCCTTGCCTAACCTGGCTTTGCTTGGCTACTGTTGGCTCCCTGGGAGGTGGAAAAAAATATCACCGCCTTTCTTGGGCAGAAATGGGGAAGTTATGTGGGCCAGTTCTCAGCTTGCGTGTTTTGTGGATAACAGCACAGCATTCCTCAGGGCTGCCCTGAGGGTCAAGCAAATATCCCATTTTTAAAGAATGTAATTTATATCTTTGATACAGTGACTTGAAAGGGGGCACAGGGAACCTAGTTTGCCTACAACTGGACAATATATAAATCTTCCCTAAAGGAATACTCTTTTGGAATCAACTGTAAGCAGTCTTTGAAAAGAGAGTTCACATGAGGGTCACAGGTATGATGTTCTCACCTTTCTGCTTAGAGAGGGTATGATGTAGCCCCAAATACACGAAGAAAGGTGGATTGGGTATCTTGTGTTAGGGTATCTGTTTCAATTTCTACACTATGAGTTATAAAGATAAATACCCAAAGGTATTTCTCATCTGTTATAAAAATAATTAACGTTTGTAACTCTGATTTTAAAAGGAGTTGAATTTGTGGTAACTTAGCAACATGAAATTCAGTAGAGTCAGTTTTGCAACATATCTTATAGAAGTCTGAATCAGACAATAGGTTTCCAATTAAACTGTTAATTGTGTTATTTAATACTTAGCTTGTAGGGCAGCAACCCAACAGAGAGAAATAAAGTAGACGCAGCATTAATAATATAATTCAGCTGATTCTTTTCTAAACATATGACAATAATTTCATGGCATGCTTATCAGTATTTTTAAGAAATAACTAGGTGTTGTAACTGTAGGTCAGCAGATTTTTTTTTCATTTCCCAACAGAATTTAGTATCACATGTACATTTTATGCTGAAATAAGGTGATTGCCTAATTGTACAAAAGTTTCCAAAACACTTTGAATGAAATCCAAAGACCTTATCATGGCCTACCAGACGACCCTACATGGTCCAGCTACTGGTGACCTCCAGACCCTATCATGTATTCTTTTCTTTGCTCACTGCCCTTCAGCCATGCTAGCCTCCTGGCTAATCTTTGAATCTTTCAAGCATAGTTCTGCCTCCAAGTCTTTGCACTTTCTTGCTTTCTGCCAAGAAAGCTCACAGGTTCACGTAGCTCACTCCTTCATTTCAGTCCAGTTTCTGCCTCAGAGAGAATTTTTCTGACACCCTAACTTGAAATGCCTGCCCCGTCACTCTCCATCCTCTTGCCCTGGTTTATTTATTTATTTATTTATTTATTTATTTTTAAAGATTTTATTTTTTTCTTTTTCTCCCCAAAGCCCCCCAGTACATAGTTGTATATTCTTCGTTGTGGGTCCTTCCAGTTGTGGCATGTGGGATGCCACCTCAGCGTGGTTCGATGAGCAGCGCCATGTCCGCGCCCAGGATTCGAACCAATGAAACACTGGGCCGCCTGCAGCGGAGCGTGCAAACTTAACCACTCGGCCACAGGGCCAGCCCCTATTTATTTATTTTTAATTGAAGTATAATTGACCTACAATATCTATTAGTTTCAGGTGTACATCATAGTGATTTGATATTTATATACATTATGAAATGATCACGATAAGTCTAATTACATCTGTCACCATACAACCTTATTACAATATTATTGACAGTATTCCCTATGCTGTACCTTACATCCTCATGACCCATTTATTTTATAAGTGGAACTTTGTACCTCTTAATCCCCTTCACCAACAAATGGGATTAGATTAAACTAAAAAGCTATTGCACAGTGAAGGAAACCATCAACAAAACATAAAGGTAACCTACTGATTTATTTTTTTCATAGGATTTATCACTACCTAACTTTATATTTTATATCTACTTGTGTTTTTATCAACTGTTTCTCCTACTAGAATGTGAGCTCTGTTGAAACCAGAATTTTGTCTGGCTTTTTCTAGAATAAGGCACTGGCACAAAGTAGGAACAAAATAAACATCTATCGATAAATGAATGTGGATTCTCTTGGAAAAAAATAATCGACTTTGCATTTCTAGAATAATATCAGAAAGCTACTCAGTATGAATATTCTCCTTCATCATTTATATGCTTTCAGGGTTATTATATTTTAAGGGAAATATAAAGGCCTAAAATTTGAATGTAGAAATATATATATAATTCATTGTGTGTCTGTGATAGATATCCCTGGAAATATTTATTGACATTCAACTGACCCAGGATTGATTTTCTATATTATAATGAATGTCATCTTTTAAAATAGAAATTTTTCATTATGAAATTAATATGTGCTCACTTTAGAAAATCTGGGAAATACTAAAACTATACAAAATATAAACTTAAAACATCATCATTTGAATACCCAGAAGTAACCACTGGTAAAGTATTTTATTTTAGTGTTATATAAAATTAAGAGCCAGTTGTTTAGCATAGTTTATTATCTGTGTCTTTCCCTTACCAAATTCATTTACTGGTATATCTTGAGCATTTCTTGTCATTAAATATCTTCAGAAACATAATTTTTAATGTCCTCACAAAATTCCATTATGTATATGTCTCATAGATTTTTGAAATGTTCCCTTTTTCCCCAATTCTTGAGCATTTAGGTGGTTTTTGTTGTTGTAATGCAATTGTAAAAAATACTGTAATGATTATCTTTGTGTAAGATTACACATATATCCTCAGATAAATTCTGGTAAAATGGTTTGAACCTTTTAAGGTAACTAATACTATTTTAATGACATGTGCTATTTCAACGCTAATAAAGTATTCAATATTCCCATTTATTTAGGGTTGAGATTTTTTAAAGAACTCTACAGATAGTTTTATGTTAAATGGGTTCATATTATATGCATCTTACTTCTTTAATTTGATATTATATCATAGACGTCTTTCCATGTTACTACGTTTATGTCTGGTCTACCTCATTTCTTTAAACTATTGTGTAAAATTCCGTATATGAATGAACCATAATTTGTTTAATCAGCATCCTACTAATGGATATTTAGGTACCCCCCACCCCCAGTTTCTCACTAGTATAAATATTGCTGTAACTAAAACAATTTCTGCTCATTTGTATAAATTTCTAGAATTAGAATTGCTAGGTCAAAGGATTTGTGCATTTTTAATTTTGACAAATATTGCCAAATATCTCTCCGCAAAAGTATCATTAATTTATACTCGCAGAAACAGTAAATGAGAGTTCTTTTTCTCATCCCTTCAGCAACACTGGATCTTTTAATCTCTTATAGTGCTATAGATGATGTATGATATCTTACTTCAATTTGCATTCCTTTTAATTTTGAAGAAGGTTAGTCATTTTTATATGTTTGTTAGCCATTTGTCTTCTTTGGGCTATATTTTAAGTATTTGCTGTCTCTTTTCAACAAGAGAGATGCGATTAGGAGTAAATATTCTTCTCTTGCATTGCTTAATTTTTCAAAATTATTTACTTCACATGATCAAGTTTGGATTGGTGTGCATAAAAATGTTATGCAACATTTTATTGTTATTTTTGTGTTATTTTGGCTTTTTAAGTAGAGGGTTCTCTGCCTTTGAAATTTTTTCCATAGGAAAAGAAATGTTTAATTTCAAATAGCTATTATATTTATGTTAATCATTTTTACAAATAGTTGATGTGTCACTGAATTTTAGGAAAGGCATGCATAGAATTATAAACAGAATATTGTCATATATCTTTGGCATATAAGTGAATGTATTAATCTACTTTTAGTGATTCACTTACAGAGTTCTAAACCCTAAGGAATCATTCACTAGAACTACTGTTAACAATAATCAATATATTATTAACTCTAATATATGTAGTAGTGTAGTAATGGGTAGTTTTCTTAAGATCTCGCATACGTTATCTCATTTGACTGTCAGGCTAACCTTGAACCTTAAAAAGCTGAATGACATGCTCACAATCAAGATCATGTAGTGGTTAACGTGGCTCTAACTTCAAACCCATGCTTTTTTTCTTTTTAGTAAATAGATCCACAGAAATAAGAGGTCCTCTACCATCATCATATAGTAGCCCCCTGTTCTTGCTGCCTAACTCAATGAGAATGAGAAGCTCAGCTTCTCCTGTTGTGTATATTTTAATCATAATCACTTATATTTGCATAGTGGTCTCTTCATTCATAAGTTTTTTCATATCCTTGAAATCATCATGTAAGTTAGATAAGACCAAAAATATTGCTTTCATTTTTACCCAAGAGGAAAAACAGTCTCAGGGAAATGATTTGAGGTCCGCATTGAATTAATGAAGAGCCAGAATCAGAATCCAGGGCTTCAGAGTTTCAGATGTATGTTGATAATCTGTCACTTGCCAAGATGAATGTATAGAATTTGATATATTAGTAGCCACTATCTGGATAAAGTTGACAGTGGAACAGAAAACAGAAGTACGGAAGACTTCTGTACAGTCTTCTTCCGTCTGCCTGGCATTTTACAATTCTCCATTGCAAAACAAGCTTTGGGAATATCAGCCTATACATTCTCCTATCTGAGAATATAATGGCTGTTTTAGTTTTCCTAGGCCAGAAGTCTCTGGAAAAGGCCATTAAATGAAAGTGATGAGAAACACTCCCCCTCCGCCCCCCAACTCTGTCTCTAAGTTAGAAAGGTTAAAGAGGTTTGAAGTGCATGGACAAGCTTAATGATTGGCATGTCTTCGATGAAACCAAAATTTTATTTTGGACTCATTTTTATTTTAAATATAATAGAGTTTATTGTTAGTATTTTATTAATAGTGCTTTTATATTTTGGTATTTTGTAAATCAAATATTCGCATTTTTCAAACATATGTATTTCTTCTTAATTTAATTTCTTGCAAGGATCCCTGTACATACTCACCTATCTTCTGTATTGCCACATCTGGGCACACTGCTTAGGATGATATGTAACCTTTGTTGTCCCACACAAATCCGTATTTTCCCCCAAGTGAACCCCAGAGTCATTATCACTGAGAAATGGTGACATAGTGTTTACCCATTATCAATAAGATTGTCACTTTGAGTTGCTTTTTCTTATCATGGCGATGAGTTGTCAACCTTTCAGAATCTTTTTTATTCAATTCTGACCCATTTGTGAATTAAATAGAATCAGCAGACTTGCCTATTATAGTTGAATGGTTTTTCCCAATGAAGACCAGTCTAGCTCTAATAAAGATCTGATCAAGTCTCAGTGAGGATTACTTCTTTAGCACTCTGTTTAGAAGAGTTGAGGTAACTGCTTTCAAAAATGAAATTATTCTGTGGCAGGTTGCGTGCTATACCAACCTTTTAGACCTCTAACTTAACTCCTTTTAAGAGGAAAAGTAGGTTGAACTCTAATCTGGTCACTAATATTGGCTGCATACATGTCTTTTCTCTTGGAACAGCTCAATGGTCATTCGGGACTTAACCTTACGCAGTGCTGCTAGCTTTGGCTCCTTCCACCTGATCCGTCTGCTCTACGATGAGTACATGTTCTACTTAGTAGAACATCGTGTTGCTCAGGCAACAGGAGAGACACCCATAGCAGTCATGGGCGAGGTAAGAGAGACAGAAGGTACTGCAACCCACAGGGCTTTTCAAAAAGAACCTGAATTTCATTTTAATCTAGATATGTTAATTATTGATTAAAGCAGTGGTTCCTAACTAATGAGTCTTAGACTCTGGAGGGGCTGTGGAGTAATTGTAGGGGGTCCTTAAATCCCTCTGTTCATATGTATTTTCTTAATCAAAAGATTCTAAAATTCTAGATTATGTCATGTGAAAGTTCATGGAATGCTTCAATATGTTGTAAAGGTGTTATGTAAAAGAAAAGTTTGAGAATCACTGGGCTAAGAAAACTTTATTGAATGGAAAATAAGAAAGATTGATGTTTCTGATACAGATAAGGGCTAGGAATGCAGAGGAAAATGTTAAATATGTATTTTGTAGACTCTTTTTCTGAGTGCTCAAGTACAAAATGAATGATTCTGTTTCAGAAGAATAACGACAATGATGAAACATTTTGGGGGCATTCACTATGTGCCAAGCACAGTTCTTTACATGGAATAAAGCTTTTGACGCTTAAATAACTCTTTGAGATCAGTGCTACTTTATCCTGTTTTACAGATGAGTATCTGAGGTTCAGGCAGAAAGCTAAGAGACAGAGAGATGAAATGGTTGCATAGCTAGCAAGTGGTGGAGAGCTGTTTCGAATATTCAGTCTGATTTTCAAACCCATGCTTCTAATCACAAAAGATGTAGAAAAAGAATTCTTTTCTTCAGAATTTCTGGATAGTGTCAAAATGTTGTATTTTCAACAAATGAAAAAAGCTAAAACTCTGAAGTTAATGTACACAAGTATTGGTTAATATAATGAGGGATAGACTCAAATGATTCAGCACTGGCTCATTTTGTTGTATTGTATTGAGCGCATTTTAGATCTTGCTGGATTATACCAGTTTAGGCAATATTACAAATTACTCAAAGCAGTAAAGAAGACGTGTTCATTTTTAAGCTATGTGTATGTGCTTATTTAAATAAAAAAGGTGAAAATAAATATTAGATACATTCCCTAGTTTAGTAAATATAATAATAAAGGTATAAATAAAAATGTGTTAAAATACTTCCAAGACTTCTATAAATATTCTAATACAAATAAAATACATGTCAAACTTATTCTTATTCGAATGTTGGTTACAATATACCTCTTTCTCTGTTCTTTAAATTCCCTTGCTGTGTGTCTATATGTGTTTGTATGATGTTCCTTAATGGTGATTTTGCTTAAATGATGCCAATGTGTGAGATTAAACAAGAATCACTGTAGCTTTTAAATTATAGGCAGGATCTCATGTGACCAAAACTATCAGGACTTTTCTTAGATTTGACTTCACCTCAGTGCCTCTTTCTTTAGTCCTTTTGTAGATGCCTGGTTGCAAAATGCCCAGTTGGCAGGTAGATTAAGTACTGTAAGATTTCTCAACTCAGGGCTCAACACTTCTGAAATAGACATGCCTTTTGGTGTATTTAACACATTTGCCAACCACCTCATATGCTCCGGGACTTCTTTAACAGGGTGATCAGGACAGTGGTAACAGGGATTCTCATTAACACCCTGGGACTAATCCTGATGCGTGGTCTTTGCTTTCCTTGCATCTCCAGGGAACAAAGGCAGTGGTTGTAAGCTGGTCACACAGTGTGAAGGCTTAGCAACCTGCTCATATGCTTGTCTAGGCAGCACTGGCTCACCAGAATTAAAGTGGCCGATGTAGTCAATACTGCCAACTAATCATCCTAATAGGCACTTTTTTTACTATATGTAAATAATGTAAATGACTATGACAGACTGCCACATGAGGCAAAGATATAATATGAATAAAATCTAGATCAGAAAATAAGGTATAAAATGCCTTCTGTAAGATCAAAGATCTAAGCACACCTCTTGACTTCTTTGCTTGCTATCTCCTTACTCAACTTACGGGAAAATCTTTTGGGCTGTCTGTGATCATCCATTATTCAGTCCAGGCCAATTAAGGCTAGTTTTACAGGTTTGATCTCCCCTTACGATATTGACGCCTCATGTACCTGTTGGGCATTATAGACCTGTTGGCCATGGTCATATTATCACATCTAAAATTTCTTGATTCTTGGGAAAATGAGAAGGAAACTCAAGGAAAAGGAAGGCTGTTCTCTCATATGTCTCTCATATGTTATCCTAAGCCTGCCTTAGACATCAGATTACAGGAAAAAAAGGCTTTTACGTGGTGAGGCTCTAGTTGATTCTCAGAAGCCCCTTAGGTGACTTCCCTTTCCAAACACCAAGTCCAGAAGTGCTTACATACACATTGGAGCAACACATCAGGCCAAAATCCACTGAAATACGTAAAATCACCATTACCCTCAATCACAGCAAGTGGTTTTCAACCATCAGTAACAATAGCAACCACAAAAATGATAATAATTGTTATTACTTATTGAGAGCTTTTTATTATACACTTAGCGAATTAAATTCTTGATCTGTCTACTAATGGCTCTTTCTCAGTAAATGGTACCACAATCCTCCCTGTTGATGATACTGGACACCTGAACATCGTCTTTTATATGTCTTTCTATCTTGACCTCTGTGTCCAACCAATTAGTAAGTCTGCTTTTTCCCAAACTTCCCATAATGCAGTCAGTATCATCTTATGAAAATGCAGAATTGACTGTGTTATCACCTACTTAAAACCCTTCAGTGGCTTTCTCTTCTCTAGTTAAGGAACAAAATTCTTTCCTTGGTGCATGAGGTCTTCATGATCTGGCCCTGCCTCTTTGATCAACCTCAAGCTCCCTCTTAGTGCTTCTCTTGCAATCACAGTGGTCTTTTCTCTGTTCTTATTCACCAAGCTTTTCTCATCATTGGACCACTGTATAAATGGTTCTTTCTACCTGGAACCCTCTGCCCAACTTCCCTTGCCCATTCTAATTCCTACTTCATGTCTTAAATATCAGTGCCTCAGGGAAGCCCAATTCCCCCCAGACTACCTTAGATACTCCTGTTCTTTCTGATTTATACTTTTCCTTTTCATTCTGGAACCTACACAATCCTAATTGCTTGGTTCTTTGCATGATTTGTGTAATTTAAGGTTTAATGCTTGGAAAGAATAGAGAATTTTGAGTCAGGAAAACTGAAATCTACTTATAGTTCTGCCATTTATAGTGGTATAATCTTCAGCAAATCGTGTTCACTTATGCTGAACCTACCTCCGAAATTTATTTATTTATTTAATAAATATTTCTTCCATACCTACTCGAGGCCAAACACTATGATGATTGGAGTATAATGATAAACGAAATAGATTTTGAGCCTACGTTCAAGGAGCTTACATTTTCGTAGAGGAATGTACTAAATGTTCACGCAACTGCATAGCTGCAAATTCTCATCAGTGCTATAAAACAAAACTAAAGGAATATAGGGATATATAAAGCATAGGGCTCTTGGGGAGGTCAGGGAAGGCTTCCCCCCAAAAATGGTGTTTAAAGTGAGAGTTCAAGGACAAAAGGAGTTAACTATGTTAAGTGAGTGAGACTTGGGAGGTAAGGGGTAGAGCCCACTGCAGGCATGGGGAAACACATACACAGGTCCTGCCTGAAATGGAAGGGAGCACGGCCTTCCAAGGGGAGGTTTTCATGGGAAATCGGAGGTCCAAGCATCAAGGAGACCAAATATACACCATCCAATTCAGCAGACAAGACGCATAATTGGATTAGGATAGAAATCCAGAATTTCGAGTGAAGCTTACACACCACATAGCACTTATGTGTCAAGCACTGCTCTAAGTGCTTTGTATATATTAATTTAATAACTCACAACGACCTTGTGAGTGAATATTATTATTATAGCTAGTTTACAGATGATGAAATGAGACACAGAGCCAAAAAGTAACTTGCCCAAGGTCACACAAGTTATGAAATCAGGTTCTGAAACCAAGCAGTCTGGCACCAACGTGCTTGCTTTTAATCTACGATTCTTATTGCCTGCTACGGGATCGGGTGATAGTGGAGCAAGAACAGTTCAGAAACCAGGGGAAACCTGGAAAATAGTCGCAAACTTTGCTGGACATTTGTTTTGCCTTTATGGGTGCTGTATTTGGGAGAGGTGGTTGTTGTTAGTACTGTCACGTCGATTCTGACTCCTAGTGACCCTGTGTGTAGCAGAGCAGAACCCTGCCCTGTCTTTTTCTACCATCTCACATCTTCCAGCGCTGTATCAGACAATGCTCTGCTGCTGTTAACAGGGTTTACATGGCCAATAGTTTCAGAAGTGGGTGGCCAGGTCCTTCTTCCTAGCCTGTCTTAGTCTGGAAGCTCCACTGAAACCTGTTTACCATGGGTGACCCTGCTGGTATTTGAAATACCGGTGGCATAGCTTTCAGCATCACACAGCCATCGCAGTATGACAACCAACAGACAGGCTGTGTGGTTCCCTAATCGGGAAAGGAACCTGAGCCGTGGCAGTGAGAGTGCTGAATAGTAACAGTTAGACCATCAGGGCTGGCTTTGGGAGAGGTATCAGACAACTAAATAGATCCAGAAGCAAGGAAAAAGATTTTGCCTTTAAAGTAACTTAAGGACAATTAATGTATCTTTTCATTAATATGAATTCAATAAATGAGTTAAGATTAACATTATTTACATTATTTGAGCAGGCAGGAGAGACTGGTACATGTTACATAGAAGCACAGTATACATGCAAAATACTATTTTTCCATTTACTGGAACACTATCATTTCAATTGTTGAAATGAAGACTACTATATAATGGAGCCCCCAAATCAAACAGCATCATAGCCCCAGTAAATTTTCTTCTAAATGTCAGTCTGCTGCTATGTTAATACTGATTGGTAAGTTATTTAAAAGCATTTGCAACTCCTGAGTTTAGTTATTATTACTATTATTTCTGCCTAGATGATAAAAGGGAAACTATTTTCTGCTAAAATTTATGTAATTTTTTGAATTTTTAATTAAATATTAATATGCCCATAGACTTTCTGGCAGTGGTGAAATTTTAAGTATAGGAATAAA